GAGAAGCACCTGGCTCCTGGCTTCGGATCAGCGCAATGCGCCGGCCGCGGCGTCCATTGGAGGGTGAACCAAGGGCAAAGGAAGACCTCTCTTTGTCACTCTCTCTCTCTCTCTCTCTCACTGTCCACTCTGCCTGTAAAAAAAAAAAAATGCAGGCACTGCAGGTGGTGGCTTTATCCATTATGCCACAGTGCCAGCCCCACAAAGGTGTAATTTAAAACCACTCGGTCACACATGCAGCACAAGGAGCCATTAGTGGGGGAGATGCAAGCTGGTCTGGAAACAAACTTTACTGACATTGCTGGCAGCCTGCTTGTGAAAGATATTCTACCTACGTCTGAGGGGCCCACAGACCCCCACTGGACATCCTCAGTGTCTCAAACAATGAAGGTGTTATCTTTCTGATATTTTATGACATCTTGAGCGAGGTTCTTGTAGAGTCATCAAGTGCATGGCATGTGTCACTCTGCTTGTCATGGCCATAAACTCAGTGTCACATGTAAGCAGGAGTGATTTTCACTGTAATATCTATAGTCAGTGACATATAAGGAGTGGCTTCAGTTGCATTTGAGCAATCCTATTAGAACATAAAAGAGGTACCGCAAAGACTTCCATCAGATTTCTGTTTCTATGTCTTTGGCTGTTGTTTTGGTTTTAACTTTGGCCATTTATTTTGAAATGCTGTGAAGTCTGAGTAAGGGAGTACTTGGGTGGGTACAATTCTGAATGAAAATCAGGAATCTATTAGCAAACAGGAAATAGGGCTTGTACATTGGGTACATAATCAACAGTACTTGGCACATTCTTCTACAGAACAGCTTGTCTTTTCACGTTGATCTGTTTGTATATTTAATTACACTCCTTACTGGCCACCCCACTATCTTTCCATGATCTTTCTCAAACAGCGCTCCTGTGGAGCCTCTCCTAACCACCCAGTCAAGATGGAGTGCTTCTTCAATGTGGTCTGTATTAAACACCTGCTGCCCACTTTCTACTGCACGAGACCTTTTGGTGTAGACAGAATTAGAAGGATTGTATCTTCATGGCTGTCAAGGAGCCTGAATAAGAGTAGCTGCCTGGAAAATATTTATTAAACCATCTGTGTTTGTGCTTGCTTATCTTGTATTACCATCATCTCTAAGGCTAGTTTGGGTCACATTCTTCACTTCTATGTTTATTAACAGTAATCCTAATAAACTGTGCTGTAGCTATAAAGTGATTATGTGATTGTCTTCTTTAAGTATCACATATCCTGGCATTTATAATATTAACAAAAAGTGATTGTTTACTGAATACCTTTATGCCAAGTGTGGTAAAAAACATAGAAGCCTGAAAAAAACCACACACAGATAAACTTACAAGCAAACATAATAACTGAGCACATGGGAGCCCTGCCACTTTATCTTTTAAAGACTCAGCAATGCCCTCTTCCAAATTCAAAGACACCTATGATGAGCTAAATTGAAAGCAGAAGTTAAGTGTATGGTTCGTTTATAGTTTATATCGTTTCCCCCTAAAAGGCAATATGATGTATGAGTGGAAGTTTCTAACCAGTGCTTAAAAACAATACTAAAAACTTAGTAACCCTAATTCATGTTTGGTTAGGTCATTAAAATTTGAGTTACTCTCAAAGTGACATCAAAAGTTCAGCATTCTTTAAGATGGTCCTCAGGTAGCCATTCTCAGTGGCAAGCAGTAAGACTAGAAGTAAGACTAAAAGTTATTCTAATAGTTTCATTTATAATGTTTTTCTCTTGTTTTACTTAAAGAAAATTTCAGCAAGAAGGTTCTGCAATGGATGTAACATGTTACCTTCCATAAAAGTGTTTAGTAATCATGAAATACAGAGTTGTTCAGTGAATATTTGTAAGGCCTAGTCTATATGTAAGCACTTTCAACCATCCACCTCTATGTAGCACTGAAATTGAGTTTTAGAGGTTTTAAAATTTTTCATTTTCAAAGATCATCTGGAGGAAATCCAAAATTTGCACCCTGAATTCCTTCCTCAAAGAAATGCCCAGAGACATCTTGTTAAGATGTTCACTGTGATTACCACCCTCAAAATAATTAAGAGAATGCATTAAAGGAAACAATATAGCATTTTGAATTTTCTATCAAACTAACTAAAAATAATGTAGTGGAGGCCTACCTGTTAAAACAGTAGAATGGTGGTGAATACTACATGGTAAGCTGAAATCAACGTTCAATAACCAAACCATTGAGCTTACAAAAAGTATACCATGCAGAGAAATGGCAAAACAGGAAAACATAACAAAGTTATTAGAATAGTTTTTATCTAGTAACCTTCACAGGTGTGTTTGTTTAAATTGAAACTGTACCTTACATAATGTTTCAAATAAAGACAGAGAATATATTTAAATTTTTATTTTAGGCTATTGCCATAGATATTAAGGAATAACATTATAAAGTCAGAAAAACTCATGATAACCACTGGAAATCATGTACCATGAATCTTAGATTATACAGGAAACCATGGATTTCTAGCTTAGTTGTTTGTCATTTGTGGGATGAAGTTATACATACATCAAGCAGTAGAAAGCAAGTCAGCATATAATATACTGCTAACTACAGTACAGATACTATAAGCATTGCATCACATCTGAAAAAGGGAATAACTACATGGTGACATAATTTTGCTTTATTTTCTCACAAATACTCCAATGCCAAGTAAAGCTGTGAAAACACAAGCTGGAAATTTCATCATGTTCCAGTGCCAAAATAATTTAAATCTTTTTTTTTTTTTCCGTTAACATTTGGTGCAAATTCAAATGTACAGTAGAAAAACTACACTGGGCTGTATTACTTGCTTCTGTAAATTTAGGAAGGAAACAAATTGATTTTTATTCCTAAAGAATTCTAAGATCAGTTTATATGTAATTTCAAAATAGATACTCAAAGTTAGCACAGCACTTTAAAAGAATCATTTTGCTTGTAGCTTGTCGACCAGGCTTCTACAAGGCTTCAGACGGGAACTTGAAGTGCGCCAAGTGCCCACCTCATAGTTCTACTCATGAAGATGGTTCAGTGAACTGCAGGTGTGAGAATAATTACTTCCGAGCAGACAAAGATCCTCCATCCATGGCTTGTACCCGTGAGTAGTTTTGCTGCAAACCATGCCTGCATGTTTGTTTTGGTTTGTATTGTTTTGTTTTGTTTCCTTCTTGTTATTGTGCTATTTGTTTGGTGGCTTTTGTTTGTCTGTTGTGTGTGTGTGTTTGTAGCATTTGGCGCATTTCCTTCTGTCATCCATGTGCAAACTGCAAGCTTTCTCTGCTTCACTCTGCATGCTTGGCTCACCACAAATACAACATGGATCACACAAAATGAATTAATTTTTAAAGCACTTCCTGCAATGGGGTCTTCAGAAAGAATGAAAATTTTCTGTATCTTGTTTTAGAACTTGCAATATGTTTGACAGGCTAGGGGAGGTTATAGGCAGAGGGATTTGCTTTTACATTTGTGTTCCCTCTTGCCATATGTTGGTCACAGGTCAGAGGGAAAATGGACTAAGATTTATAAAAGTAATACTAAAGTTTTCATAACTATTCACAAGGGTATTGAACTTGGTGGTAAATTCTTTCATTGGACTTTGTGACTGCCTCCTTAACCTTGAGCTAAACTCCCCCTTTCAAACGCTTCTGTACCCATACGTCTAAAATCTTATGAATCCTCTAAGGATGAACTAAAAGTAGATAATAAAGACAGGATGGTTATTTAGCACTTTGAATTCCATTGTAAATTATCTATTTCCCTTGTAGTAGAAAACAGAAGTGAGCCTCATTAATCTCTGTTGAACTGCTTTGCAGGACCTCCATCTGCACCAAGAAATGTTATCTCTAATATAAACGAGACCTCCGTTATCCTGGACTGGAGTTGGCCCCTGGACACAGGAGGCCGGAAAGATGTTACCTTCAACATCATATGTAAAAAATGTGGGTGGAATGTAAAACAGTGTGAACCATGCAGCCCAAATGTCCGCTTCCTCCCTCGACAGTTTGGTCTCACCAACACCACTGTGACAGTGACAGACCTCCTGGCACACACTAACTACACCTTTGAGATTGATGCCATTAATGGAGTGTCAGAGCTGAGCTCTCCACCAAGACAATTTGCTGCAGTGAGCATCACAACTAATCAGGCTGGTGAGTACCCCTGATGCTTCCTGCCCCTCCCATAGTAAGTCTGAGCAATGATGGCGCTGGCAGACGGTGGGAAAGGGGAGGGAAAAAAGGTATGGAAGGGGCCCCCAAATATTCTCTTTTATCAAACTTAAACAGTTAAGGTAAATTCAACCTAATTTTTCAATGGAGAAGAAACACATTGACAAGCTGAATTTTAAAATAGTTTTATACTCGTTGCTTCCCAATTTGGTATTCTCAAATGTTTGGGTCTGAATAGTAGTTGTGGGGATCTTTGGAACTTTTTCACATTTCAAAGAACCTAACATGCATTGAACTCTGGTTTCGGAAAGGATATGTAGGTTATTTTAAATTGCAAATATTTTTATTTCTATTACGTTTGGCTTGTGACACAGGTTTGTAGTTACTTTATGTTCCTAAGGAACTCCAAGTATTATAGTTTTGTAGCTCTGCTTAGTTAAAATTAAGAAATAAAATTAATTTAAAATAGGCTTGTGTTAATACATTTTAAATATGAAGTTTATGGAGAAATATAATGGAAAGATGACTTGGTCAAGAATAATTGGAATAATTTTAATCTTATTCCCAGATATGATTAGATAAGTGATTTCTCCAACCACGTTTTCCACTGACAAACTTTCACCAAATGAAAAAGGAAATTTCTGCTTTGGTGGTTATAAGCAAAAAAGGACCCTTTGATATCAAATGGAAAACTAATCAAGTATAGAAATTTCTTGTATTTCTTATAGCCACAACTTCTCTATTATTAGTAAATCATGTTCTTTCAATCAAAATTTTCATCCTCCATGTGGATTAATTGATATGATATTACTTACGGAATTTTAATTATGATTTTCTGAAATGTAAATGGAATATAATTTATATATACATGATACCCATTTGAGATATGACAATCATTTTTCAATATTGGAAACTGCAAATGAATAATCAACACAGCTTTGTGAAGTTAAGATGATTGATACTGTTTGTGCATAACTGTTGCTACATAATGTATGATTAGGGATACATTCCAAGTGGTTCAGTTCAGACATATTATTTATAAGTAAACCAATCAATGCTGGAGTAAAAATAAATAAAACAGAAAAAAGAGACAGAATGCCACACCGAGAATGCTTTAACTGGAACGAAGATGTTCCTGTCTGGTCCCAGCCAGGCTCACCTCTGAGGTGGAAATCAGGATTGAGTGTAAGCTTCGATTCTGCTCTGCGTTTGGCTTAAATTATGGAAATCCCTGTTGTATCTAGTGGACATCATTGTTTTCTCAGGTATTATCAGCATGTATGCAGGATGCTGTAGGCAAAAGTAAAGCAGAGATAACTAAACTCTACCATCAGCTGGAAGTGATCTTTTATCAGCCAAATAACTAGCTTAAAAAAAGAAAACCTCACTAGATCCGTTCTCTCACTTGGCTGGTTCAGGAAGTTTAGTTCAACTTCCAAGGACACACAATTAACAAAGGTGATCCCAGATTAGTACTCAGTAATTATGTACCAACATAACTTTGCCAGACAATTTTGATCAATTTCTGCACTAGTTAGACAAAGTTTTATCTGCTCCTGCAGCTTGGTATTAGAAAGGCATCTATCCTGATTAATTTCTCAAATAGGCTGAAGAACTCCTAAAACTTAGTTTATCAGGTCCACTCTGTCCTTTGAATGATCCGGCAGCTGAAAGGATAAATCCTGGCATACCAGAGGTCTCAGGGGCCTCGCACTTGTACCCCTCTCTCTCCAGAGGCCATGTCCCTGCATGCCAGTTGATACATATTTCTAATATAGCCCCTGGCAAAGTCCATGTTCAAATATCTATCTTTCTAATTCCAAATTCCTCTTTTGTTCATACTTTACTTCTAGCCACATATATGGATAAAAGGTATACACTTAACTTTGTCTCATGCTGATAAAATTCATTTGTGAGAAACACATGACTTTGAAATGAAGTATACTGAATCATTATTTTAATCTTGCTTACTGAATTAGAAATTTTTCTCTCTTGAAGCTGTAGACCAAGCAGCACATGCTTTTCTTTGCTTCAGTTAATTGATCCTAAATGATTTAACCAACAGCATTTAAACATTTCTAACCTAAGTATATCTTAACTAACTTCTGGAGAAAACACAAGTAACATCATTGCTATATATCACATGATTATGTGTTTTCACGTCCAGTGAATGTTGGCATTTCAAAAAATTATAATGATGTACCAAACAGCTTTCCCAAAACCTATATTTCAAGCTGATTTACTGCCTTGCTTAAAATAGGAACATCAATTTGTGTTATAATTATCTCTTAAGTCAAACAGATACGTATAAAAACAAGCAAGAGCTCCCTATTTCGTATCTTATCATTCCCCTCTGGCTTTCTGACAATGCATTTATCAGGGAAACTAACAGTTTCAAATATATACTGTGAATGAATCTACGCAAAGTGGCAACCTAGAACAGGCCAAGACATTAAACAATAAATGGGGTTGATACTTTGGCCCTCCCAGTTACAAATCACAGCTTGAGACGGAGATTCAGCAGAGGTGATATCAGTTACTCTCCCTAACCCCACTGCCATTTTTTTTTAAATCACAAATTTATCTACAAAATGTACCATGAGGCACTTGATATATTTATTTTCAGGGTGTCTGTATCATTTTGTGTGTCTGGAGAGAAGCAGTTCTTAGTTCTATCTTCAAGTCCCCTGAGTAAGATATATCAGCATGATTAGAAGCAATCCCATTTCTACAGGGAGTGTTTCTTTGTTTTGCTTTTATTCTTGTTCTTGTGAAGGTTAATGGACTGGTAGCCTTGAAAAATGAGCTCTTTAGCACTGTAAGGATATGTCTGTGACAGATATGATGCTACGGTATTTAAATTCCTTCTGGTCTCTCTATCTTTGACACCAATATAAAGGGGAAACATGAATGTGTCTCTTTCCATTTAGTTTGTGAGATTGAGTTTGTTGATTCTTCTTTGATTACATTGTGAAAGCCCTGTGATGGCCACATGATAAGGCGCCTTCTAAATTGTACAGGATTGTGTTGTAAGTTTAGACATTTTTTCCTCCGCCTTCAATACTTGCACTAAGCATGCCGGTGAGGTGGAATGCAGTCTCCTTACAAAGATTATTTCCATGAATCCATTAGTCAAACTTGTGAATAGGCAGAATTGCAGATGGAAAAAAAAAATCTTCAAAGTAATAATGGTGTAAATTGGTATTGTTTTTGGTTCTCTTACTTAAAATGAGAATATTTATCTTTTCACTCTGGAAACAATCATTCCACTAGTGGAATATTTATCTCTGTTCATTCTGAACTCTATTAGTGAATGTGCCCTGTTTCATAAAACTCCAGCATATAATGACCACAGCTTAGAATAAGAGCCACTGACAGGCAATTTCTGGGTTTGACTTTTGAGGTCCACTGTTGGCCCTATCATACTGCTGAAGAAACTGAGATCCAAGTATTTCACCAAAAAAAAAAAAAAACAAACCAAACTTCTGTGTATATCTCTTAAATCCTAGTCCACTTCCAGGTCCTATTCTCCCACACTTTCTGCTCACCTATGATTCACTCCAAGAAGCTACAAAGAGTGGTGTTGCCTAGTATACAGAGAGGGTCCTTGTTGGGAAAATCTGCGCTAACCTATGCCACCAGCAGTGAACCTGCTCCTTGTTGCTCTGTCACTCATTCACGGGGTTTCTTAGGGGTATCCTGCAGGAGATCTTCCTTAGCAACTCCACCCTTCCAAAAACCTAACCCCATTCTCTACTCCCTCATTCTTCGCAGGTAATTTTCCTGGCTAACTTATTAAAGCCATGTTTCAGAAGGAAAAGAAGAAGTTGTCTCCCTGTTCTCAGTCTCTTTCTCCTCATCTGTACTCGCTAACTCCCGTGGATCCCGGACTCTAAACAACATGCTCTCAAAAGAATCCCTTACTCCTCTAGTATCTTTAGCTAGCCCTCTTTTGCCCACTATTTCTTTTGCATTTTTTTGACAGGCAGAGTTAGACAGTGAAAGAGAGAGACAGAGAGAAAGGTCCTCCCTCCATTGGCTCACCCCTCAAATGGCCACTACGGCCGGAGTACTGCCCAGATCCGAAGCCAGGAGCCAGGTGCTTCCTCCTGGTCTGCCATGCAGGTGCAGGGCCCAAGAACCTGGGCCATCCTCCACTGCTTTCCTGGGCCACAGAAGAGAGCTGGACTGGAAGAGGAGAGACCGGGACAGAATACGGCGCCCCAACCGGGAGTAGAACCCAGGGTGCTGGCACCGCAGGCAGAGGATTAGCCCAGTGAGCCGAGGCGCCAGCCTTGCCTTTTTTTTTTTTTAGACTTGTTTATTTATTGAAAGAGAGAGAGAGAGAGACAGAGAGAGACAGAGAGAGAGAGAGAGAGAGAGAGAAAGTCTTCTATCTGCTGGTTCACTTCCCAAATGATCACAATGACCATGGCTGAGCCAGGTCAAAACCAGGAGCCAGGATCCTCATCCAGGTTCCTAACAGGGGTGCAGGGGCCCAAGCACTTGGACTATCTTTCACTGCTTTCCCAGGTGTTCCAGCAGAGAGCTGGATCAGAAGCAGAGCCCATATGGGATGCTGGCGCTGCAGGAGGTGGAGACTCAAGCAGCTATGACATAATGACAGCCCCTCTTTTGCCTTTTAGGTTGCAAAGTCATCTTTATCTTAGATGAGGGCATAAATAAATAAATAACACCGGCAGCACCAACAACATTAGCCAAATGTGCATGTGTGCACATGTTATAAATTGACTACTTCACCATTTCAGTTTCTCTAAATTTCCAATCTACAATTAGATTTTTTCATAAAGTAATCCTTCCTCCTATCTTTATTCTCTCACTTGTATGTGTTCCCTTTCACTCCTGCACTGAAGTCTGTTTCGTTCTCTCCCTCTATTATGATTTCCACCAGAGGACAAGTAAGAATTTCCTAAGTGCATCTTTATATCCAATTAAATGCAATTGTTAGGGAGAATGCAGAC